GGGTCTCGACCCCGCGGGCTCAGGCAATCCGCTCACCTCGGCCTCCCAAAGCGCGGGATTACAGGCTGAGCCACTGAGCCCAGCTTTTTTTTTCTTTTTAAAGACAGGATCTCACTCTATCACCCAGGTGGGAATGCAGTGACATGATCATAGTTCACCACCACCTTGAACTCCTGGTCTCAAGCGAGCCTCCCGCCTTGGCCTCCTGAGTAGGGACTACAGGTGTGCGCCACCACACCCAGCCAACCCCTTTTCTTTATGTGTCTCTGACTCTGACTTGCTGGTGACCAGCTATGCTGGCTGTCCTCTATGGAGGTGGCTGCTGTGGCAACCTTGAACTCTGGCCTCCCTTGTTTACAGATGCTTCCTGCAGCACTGAAGGGAGGTCCTGCAGATGCTGAGTAAGGCACCCTTGCCACCACGTCCTGCCCACCCAGCATAGTCATTGTGCAAGGGCTGAGGCTGTGCTGTTGGACTACACCAAGTAAGGCCACTCCAGAAGGAGAGAGGGTATTCCGCCATGACAGCATGGCTGCTCTCCAGTGAGGGAGGTTGGTATGCCAAGGAATATCAGGGCTGATGGGAAGGGGGAGGGAAGTGGTGCTGAGTAGGCAACAAGCGAGCTTCACTACCAGGACAAGGGACCGGAGCTTCAGTCCCATTTATTAGGGGACGCCCTTATGGTAGGCAGAGGTTGGTGGTCTACAGATGTGTCAGGGCAGGAGGGGCACGTCTAGGACAGGGCGGCGGAGGGCCTCGGGCCCTGGCTGTCCTTCTTGTGGGATATCTGGGCTTGTGCCTTAGCTGGTGTGGTTCACCTGCCCACAGTGGGAGCTGCTGCCCTACATGGGGCGTGGGTGTCCCTTGTTCCTGCCGAGGGGCTGGGTGCCGGCCCTGGTGTGTTTGTGCAAGCCCACGTGTTTGTGTTTCACTTGGTGACCCGAGGACAGCAGCACAAGTATTTGCTGTCGCTCTCCAGCCAAACCAAAACCTAGCCTTCCTCTGCATCTGTCATCCTCACCTGCTGCTATGTTGAGGCCCTGGACTGAGGGTCCACAGGATTCCTCCCTGGTTCCCTGCTCTGACTTAAAGACCTCTCAGGGCTTTATTGCCTGTGTTGGTGGGACTTGAACCAGTGCTTGCTCATGTCCACAGTTGAGTTGCTGGAATCAGCAGGCGGGTTCTGGCCACCTGTGTTGTGATTGGCAGTAGGGCCCAGGGGTGTTACTCATTACCTGGCCGGTTGGATTTCACTCTCCCCTCCAAAGGCTGCCTGGCCCACTGGATGACTTTTTTGGCCACCCTTACATCCTAACCCATTTCTGTTCACTGCCATGTCCCCTTTCTCTGACAAGAGTCCTGGGCTGGCCCAGCCAGGCACTCCTGGACAGGGCCGTTCCTTGTACCTTGGCAGCGGGCGGACCACCAATGTGTTCACAGCAGGAGCAGCATGTGGCTTGCCTTGGGTTCTTGGGCATGGTGCTCGGCCACCCAAAACAAGTGGGTCCTTGAAAAGGGGGTCAAACCCTTGCTCCCCAGGTCCCCTCAGGGTCTGTCTAAGGAACTAGCTATTCATTAGTTTACTGGCTGCATTTCTGGTAATGACCTAAAAGGTCAAGAGAAGAGATGGTACAAAGAAGGAAGTTCCCAAACTGCTTACAGAGTTTTATTATTTATTTTTCATAGAGACAGGATCTTGCTGTGTTGTCCAGGCTCGTCTTGAACTCCTGGCCTCAAGTGTGATCCTCTTGCCTCAGCCTCCCTAATTATTGGGATTATAGGAGTGGCACCATGCCAGCCTAGAGTTTTATGTGGAAGGTTGGTTTTGGATTCCTGAGTGGGTGGAGTTCAAACGGTATCCCTGGTGAAGGAAGCCTGGCTAAAGAGGGGACCTCAGGTCAGGAGGATGGAGTCTCCCATGCCCGTGCCTGAGCAGTGTGGTGCGGGACTGTGGACTGTTTCAACCTTGTCTCGTTCTTGGGGAGCCTGTCAATTTGACTGCTGGTATCTTCTCCTTGCTGCCATGACAAGGCAGCTCATTTTCACAGTCCTGCTTTCCCTGCAGTCCCCATCCTACTGCAGCACCCGGGTTGCCTGGAGCGCAGGAGTATGGAGCTGAGAGCATGTCCCTGCTGCTGTTCCCTGTTGCTTTCCAGGGGTGTGACTGGTCCAGTGCACAAAGTCTTTCAGCTGAAAGATGATCCCAAAATGAGGTGACTGGAGACATGCTCAGACAGAGCCGCTGCATGCAGCTGTGGGCTTCGGTGCACGTTGATGCCAGGTGTCCCACTGGCCCTCCCAGAAGCCGGCGCTTTCCCCCGCAGGTTCTGGGTCGAGTGGGTGGGTGAAGACCCAGAGTGTGCAATGGTGCTGAGCAGCAACCACTCTCAGCTCTGTGGGCAGCTTTCTTGCTGAGGGAGACACGTCCCTGCTGGTCAGGACTATGCTTTTCCACCTAGACTTTTCATGTGCTCTGAGGCTGCCGGTGCTTCCCTAGGGCAGTGTCTCATGGTGCTTCCCTTGGGCCGTGTCTTGTGGGGTTGTCCTTCCACTAGTCATGTGCTCATGGGGAAGTTGCTGCACCTCTCTGTGCTTATCTGTGAAATGGGAACCATGAAGTAGAACCTGCCAGACTAGTTGTTGTGGGGATTCCAAGAGCTGAGCCTGAAGGGGCTCAGACCCCCAGCATCGATACACGGCAGGTGGTTGGGAGGTTCTGGCTCTTGGTGATCTGTCGCTTTCGCTGTCCAGACTTAGTGGCCTGCAAGACGCTGGTGAAATTCACATCGGGGTTACAGATGGTTGCCAAGGTTGGGTAGTGAATGGCATGTTCAGGATTCCTTGAAGTGAGTGTCCCACTCTAAGCCCACACCTCTTCTCATCGTTCTTACCTCAGAAGTGGCACCACCGTCCACCAGCGCATCCTGAATTGCCCTTGACTGTGGCTTCACTCACCCTGTGTCCTAGTCCTGCCTCCAGGTGTGTGTTCTTGCCCCCTCATACCCCTCTGCCTCTGTCCATTCTCCCCCAGCTCCAGGGGGATCTTTTATAGACACTGTCCCTCCTTCCAGTGCCATGGGGACTTCTGCCAGGTGAAGCAAAGCCCGGGCTCCTTAGGATACAGACCTGCCCTAGCGGGTGTGGTCACCACAGTATGTATCTGTCTGTAGGACAGGACTTGCTTTAGTCATGTCCCACTCCATGATCTTGGGCGGGTTTCATGAAAGTGTCTATAGTTGTCAGACCACAGAATCTTGGAACAAGAGACCCCTTGGCTGGGCTGCTCTCCATCCTGCGCTGGGGCAATCAGCCACAGAGAGGGTGCGTCTTGGAAGGGAGGCTTTGCGATCGGCAGGGACTGAGGCTGCTGACTGGGCTGTCTGTGAGGGACTATGTGGCCAGCGCCCCAGCCTGTGGCAGCTCTTCTGGGAGGACACTGGCTGATGTGTCTGTTTTGTTGTGGCCCCACATGGTCTTTCTTGGATCTGAGCTGTAGTGAGAGGCCTGCTCCTGGTGACAGTGCCGCGCAGAGATGCAAATTTGACTCCTGCTTGTAGGTTCTGCTCATCTCTTCTAGGACCTGACCTTCCTTTGCACCAACTTGCCCTTCAAGTATTAGAGATTGAGGTGTGTGCAGTACTGGCTGTCCAGTGAGGAATGAAGGCAGGCTGGTGAGCTGCTCAGCCCACGCCGGCTGCGTGCCCATGCCCATCATCATCAGGAGGAATGTGCTGTTTTGTGAGCCATCAGGGTCTCCTGGAGCCCACTGATTCCAGAAAGCATTTGATCTGAGGAAACCCCTCAGTGAGTCTCTCCACTCCCCTCCCTAGCCTGGGCTGCCGGCCAACTCTGAAGTGCCCTTACAGAGAGCCCGCAGGGGCCCAACCTCTGCCCTCCTTGTCTTCTTGAACAGGGGCCCATCGAGAATGGATACTGGCTGCACGGATTGCAGCCACGGCCCATGAGCCTCCTGTGAACCATCGAAGCTTCTTGTAGCCAGTGGGCATTCATGCACCGCGGGTCTGGGCGCTGGAGGGGTGGGCACTGCCCTCAGCCCTGGGCAGCAGGGGCTCTTTGCTTGTTGAGCTTTGTGCCCTTTGAAGTTTTTTTTTTTTTTTTGAGTTAGAGTCTCACTCTGTCACTCAGACTGGAGTGCAGTGGCCGCTCCTGGCCACCGCAGCCTCGACTTGCTGGGCTCCAGCGATCCTTCCGCCTCAGCCTTCCAAGTAGCTGGAACTACAGGTGCGTGCTACCATGCTCGGCTAATTTTTTGATTTATTGTAGAGATGAGGTCTCACCAAGTTGACCATGCTGTTCTCTAACTCGTGGACTCAGGCAATCCCCTCAGCTCAGCCTCCCAAAGTTCTGGGATTATAGACTTGAGCCACTGCACCTGGCTCTGTTGTATACTTTAAAGTCAGGAAGGGTGATATCTCCAGCTTCGTTCTTTCTCAGGATTGTTTTGCCTATTGGGATCTTTGTGGCTCCACATGAATTTTAGGATTTTTTTTCTTTCTGTAGAAAATGCCAGTGATATTTTGGTAGAGATTGCATTGAACAAGATACATCCTTGACCTATTCAAGTATAACATAAGTTGGTTCTGTCACCACTTCCCAGAAAGTGCAAAGACTAAAGACTGAGCTACCGCCAGTCACCCATTCCCTGTTGCTTGTTTTGCCGGTATTTTATTATTATTATTATATTATTATTATTTTATTATTTTTTGAGTTGGAGTCTCACTCTGTCACCTAGACTGGAGTGCAGTGGCCACTCCCAGTTACTGCAGCCTCGACCTGCTGGACTCCTGCGATCCTTCCGCTTCAGTCTTCCAAGTAGCTGGAACTACAGGCGCGCGCTACCACACCCAGCTAATTTTTTTTTATTTATTGTAGAGATGAGGTCTCACCAAGTTGCCCAGGTGGGTCTGGAACCCGCGGGCTCAGGCAATCCACTCACCTCAGCCTCCTGCT